AGAAATTGTTGAATGAAGAAGGAACAAAAATATTATCTCTCTGGCAAAGCTCGATTTCTACATTTTAAAAATAGTTGAATAAAAGAATAGATGCTTTTCTATATGTAGTTTAGTTTTCCTGCTATAGGGTCTATAAAAATAAAATCCTGTGCTCTACTTTCAGAAAGTTGCATGCCAATCTGAAACCCTATCTATATTACATTACAGGCTGACCTCTGTGTCCCTAGATTGAATGAAGGGGACCAAGTTGTACTGATCAATGGTCGGGACATCACAGAACATACTCATGATCAGGTTGTGCTGTTTATTAAAGCTAGTTGTGAGAGGCATTCTGGGGAACTCATGCTTCTAGTTCGACCTAATGGTGAGTACTTTATATAGTACCAGATATTTATCATAATTTATTACTGTTTATAGCTGAACACAGCAGCCAGATTTCTGATATAAAACATAAGTCACCTAAGTTTCCTGCTCCAAGCACAGTGGCTTCCATTGACATGTGGAGCAGAATTCAAGTTCTTTGCCACCCACCCCTTGGTCTCCTACTCAGCCTTGCTTACTTTCCACTATTCTACACTAGCTTTCTTGCAGTTCCTCAAATGTTCCAATCTAATCCACTTATTAGGGTTTTGGTCCTTGCTGTTCCCTCTGCTAACTTACTTTTCTTGATTTCGTTATGACATACCTATACTTCATTCAGGTCTCTGCTCAGATGTCATCTTCAGAAGGGCTTTCTCTCCTGACTATCATAGCTAAAATGGCCTCCCATTTCCCCTAAATAGTAGTAGTCATAGTACTAGTACTCAATAAAAACTAGTTGAATGAATGAGTAAATTTGAACTCTGTTCCACTTTTAGAAAATGCCATAACAAGCTATAGTTGAAGTGTTTTTAAAATATTGTCTGTGTTTTCAGTATATATCTACTAGCCTAATCATGTTATCTCCTGACCTGGACAGCTGACTTGTTAATTCATAGTTATAGATTTCCAGGTTTGGAGACACCTTGAACACCACAAGCTCTAGCTCCTTTGCTAATTGCTTGAATTTCCTCTACCACGTCAAGAACATCCTACCAATATAGAGCACTTGGTGGCTCCTGAATCAGGTCATTCCATCTTTGGTTACCTCAAACTATAAATTGAACTAAAAGTCCATCTTTCTTCAGTCCTGCTCCTAATTCTATCACTTTATGCTATGCATTATAAGTTTAACCCCTCTTCCTTCAGTTTTTTTTTTTTTTTTGACAGCAGCTAATTTTCCCAGAAACCCTCCTCCCTTTATCCAGTTTAACAGTCCTAGGGTCTTCAGCCAGTGTTCATATGGCATTGTTTAGAGTTCCCTCAAAACTCTTGTCAATCTCCTCTAAGAAAAAAGTTTTATATGTCTAATATCCCAGGATTAGACATACTCTTCTGGTTTTGTTCTGTATAATTTGCTGTTAATTATAATTTTAGCCACAGAATAATTACTGTTAATGCCATATTACCACTTGTTGAATATGTACTACAGAAAAGTAAAATACCATTCAAATTCTATTTGTCACCACTACACCCAACCTTGCAAAATTTTGCAAGGATATTTATTTTTTATAAACAAACAAAACAAAACAATCCTCTTTTTACCTCATGTTCACAAATAGGCGTTTTCATTTTATCTTCTCCACTTTGTGTTCTTTTCCATTCATGGTCTAGCATTGGCTTTCTAGGAAGATTAAAAGGACTTCAACAGAACATTCTATTTTGACTTTTCAAGGAACTTGTTCATTTAGACCTGATACTTAGGTGAGTCATTAGGCATTTTCTGTCACATACAGCTACTTAAATTTTAAACCAGGAATAATATTATTTTTTCTGTATTTATTGTATTCTGTTTTCTCTTGATAATCGATCCTAAAGAATTCAATAATATTAGCTAATAGTTATTAAAGCTTTCTATGCACCTAGGCTCTTTTGTGTATTTTCATTTAATCCTCACAGACATCCAGTGAGATAGATGAATTATCCCCATTCTAGAGTTGAAGATACTTTGACACCAAGACATTCAGTTACTTGCTCACAGATTCAACCAGAATATGAACAAAAATCCATGTGATGCCAAAGACCCAGCCTTTTTGCAATTCCAAATCTCATCCTTTTGCTTTAAAGTAGGAGAGGAACCCACCTAGGGTCTAATTCTTGCAAAAGATCTTTCTAAATTGTTTTATAGTCAAAATGTGGAGCCAGATGTGCATCTACTTTCATTGTAGGTCTATCATGTCCGTTTTTACTTTAAGTAACATATAATTAAAATTTAAAACTATGTTTCTAAGAATATGTTTTTGTTTTTCTGATCTTTTCCCCTATAATTCTTATTTCTTCTTAGGCAAAATGTTGTTATACCTTTTTGTGTTTTCATCCTTCATTTCAGAAATTTATTTTTCTAAAAAATGTATACATATTCAAGGAGGAACCAGATCTCTTAGGCAAGGGTAAAGGAGGCCCCTACCTTGGCTCCATATTTTAGAAGGCCCTGCTTTGGCTCTCATTCTTCTCCCAGTGGAGTCATGATTTTATAAGACCAAAAGGACATGCCAAGCTATAACCTCCCTTCCTTTTCTGTACCACTTTTTTCAAACCTCATTTCTGGGTCCAGATAACCCTGAGCCTTTCTAGATCTTATGGGTATTTTCCTCACATCCATTCTCTCAAGGTTGGTTCACATGGTATGTGTATCCCAACCCAGCAGGTGGCTAAGAGGCTACAGTTTATAGAGGGAGAGGTGTAGACATAGCTTGCATGTGGGCTGGGATCTTTGCATACATGTTTATAGGCCCCTATGTTAAAAAATGGAACTGAGAGTGGGAAAAGAAATACGGTGGAATATAGGCCTAGGATCTAGGGTCCAATTCTCCTCACGTTACCATGAACATGAATTCTGGCTTAGAATTCTAATTTGAAGTCTGACTTCCCAGGTTGTTTTGTAGATACATCACAGAAAGAGGATGAAGTATATTTTGTTTAGCACTGTGTTCAATTTGTTGTAACTTCTCATAGTTAGACATATGGTGTATAGGCCTCTATTTATACTCTTGCCCTAGGTCCCTCCAAATTATTCACAGCTGCTTCTCAACAGCTCTTCTCTTTCTTATTATCTCTTCAAGTTACCGACATTTTCAGCCATGTAGCCAAGAACACTTCTTTCCTCCAAAGGTACAGCAAACCTCTTCAACTCCACAACTACTTTCTGTCCCCCCATAGTGACACCAGACTCAGATCTGGTGTAATTCTTCATAAATGAATTATTTTTTGAACAAAACATTATACAGTGTATCTGATAAATTCCTATCGTGAATTCATTAAGATTTCCATACGTTTTGGGGTTTGTTTTTTTTTGTTTTGTTTTGTTTTTTTTTTTTAGCTGTATATGATGTAGTGGAAGAAAAGCTAGAAAATGAGCCAGATTTCCAGTATATTCCTGAAAAAGCTCCACTAGATAGTGTGCATCAGGATGACCATTCCCTGCGGGAGTCAATGATTCAGCTAGCTGAGGGGCTTATCACTGGAACAGTCCTGACACAATTTGATGTAAGTAATATCATTATATATAAAAAGCATTTTGCTGATTTTTTTCTAACTAGTTTCATGGTTTCCTAAGTACCTAACCTAAGCTTTATAATTTCTAAACGAAAATGATATTTTGAGTAATGTTTGACATAAAGAGTTCCAAAATGCCAACTTTTAAAAATTGCTCCCAAAATACTAGCTATGGTTATATAAATAGAATATATCTTTTTAAAAAGGGATAAGGAAATTTTATACATATGTCATCAAACTAAATTATTTTCTATAGTTGAATAGCTGTTTTTTTGAAAAGTGGCAGATGAGGATAGGCTATTATAGACTTTAAAATCCTGAGCTAAAGGAAAATAACTTATTTTTGAAGTTTATACCGTGTCATATTTAATCTTTGTTTATTTTTTGTCAGTGCAATCTTGAAAACTGGAAAAAAACAAAACTTTCAGACAGATCATTATATCCAGAGAACTAGAATGCTGCTTCAGTGCTTATAATATGCATTTTGAGCCACGAGCACACAGTAGATTTTGAAATGTTTTATTCAGACTATATGAAATTAATTTGTTTAAATTAGTAAACCCGAATTTTTTGTTGTTGTTACTGTTTGTTTTTGAGAAAGGGGTCTCACTATATTGCCTAGGCTGATCTCGAACTCTTAATTCAAACAATCCTCCTGCCTTAGCCCTCAAGTAGCTGGAATTACAGGCATGCACAACCATGCTAGGCTCCCTGGATTGTTCTTAATGTGTTTTTAGACATGACCATCATTAATATTTTTTGCTCTGACATAGATGTTATAGATAAGTGTTTAACTATAAAACATTTAGGATATATATGTTAGTTTTTGTTCAAAAGTTCTTAGTTCATATACTGTAAACACCTCCAAACTAAATGAAAGTTAAATGTTTTCTGCAGATTTGCTACTCACAACTTCGGGTGCTTCTGCTCTAAGCAGAATTGGTTTCACTAGTTTTTTACCACTTTTCAAAATATGACACATAATTTATATCAGAAACTGAAGAATTCGGATTTGTAAATCTGGTTCAGTACTCTACTAGCCTATGGAATATCATTGTATAGATGAGCTAGTCAAAGGGAAAAAAATCTGCTTCCTGTTAGTATAGAAACAAGTCTGGAAAACAAAACAGAAATTGTTTATGGCTTTTGTTGGAATGGTTCCCTTTTTTTTTTTTTTTTTTTAGCAACTTTATCGGAAAAAACCTGGAATGACAATGTCTTGTGCCAAATTACCTCAGAATATTTCCAAAAATAGATACAGAGATATTTCTCCTTGTAAGTATCTTATTGTCTCTGTTAAATTTAATCTTTTAAACATAACTTTGTTAAAACATTGTTTCTTTTAAATGTTTTAGATGATGCCACACGGGTCATTTTAAAAGGTAATGAAGACTACATCAATGCGAACTATATAAATGTAAGTTTATTTTTATTATGACTTTGCTATTTGGAATAATAGAGGCCACTGTGAACTTTGAGGTTATTTTCTTTTTGTTAAAATCCTAACCTGGATAGAATATTAAAACTTAAGATATTTTAAAATATTATCAAAGTAATATTAAAGAAAAAAAAAGAACAGTGTTAAAGAAAATATTTTGGTACTTGTGTATTAATAGGCAGAGCAGTGGAAATGGAATAGTACCTTCCATAAGTAGACTTAGATAAATACTAGAATTTTGCTTATGGTGGAGGTGGCCTTTTAGATCATTGGAGATAAAACAGACTATCCAATGAATGGGTGGTTGGGTCAACTGTTTAGAACAGCAGCCCCCAACCCCTGGGTCATGGACTGGTAATCACCTATGGCCTGTCAGGAACTGGGCCATACGACAGTAGGTGAATGGTGGGCGAACATCACCGCCTGAACTCCATCCCCTGTCAGATCAGCAATGGCATGAGATTCTCATAGGACTGCAAACCCTATTGTGAACTGTACATGTGAGGGATCTAGGCTGCCAGCTCATTATGAAACTCTAATGCTTGATGATCTGTGGTAGAACAGTTTCATCCTATAACCATCCCCATCTCCCACCCTTCCAGCCCCCTCCATGGAGAAATTGTCTTCCAAGAAACTGGCCCCTGGTGCCAAAAAGGTTGGGGACCACTGGTCTAGAATTTGTCACTGTAAAGAGGCATTTTTTTTCTTACCTGGAAAAAAATTACTGTTTTTTTCTTAACTCTGTAATTAGAAAATTTCAAATGTGCAGAATGAGAGCAAAAAGTAAAATGAACTTTCATATACACATCACTCAGTTTTAGCACTTGTCAACTCATGACAAATCTTGTTTCACCTTTACTAGGTTCTTTTGAAGCAGATCTTTACATCATATCATTCATCTATAAATATTTCACCTCTACTCACTCTTGATACCAACGTATATTTCAAATATACCAAAATGTAATTTTTTAAATGGGATTATGAAATTACTTAAAAGAAATATGTGAGAATTGTTTAAAAATCTCTGGGAGGTTTGTTAAGCTTAGATACATGTCTAAGCTTAAGGAGATTGATGAATTTGACAAGATAAAATTTGTTATTTTTGGTATGCTTAAAAACTACTAAAATCAAATGACAAATGGAATTATTTAAATACTAGAAAAGGCTTATTTCTTTAATATACAAATAACTTCATAAAGGAATAAGAAAAATAAGCCTTGGCAACATAGTAAGACTCCATTTCTCAAATAAAAACTACAAAACCAAAAATATTAGTGGACATGGTAGCGCATGTCTGTTGTCTCAACTACTCAGGAGGCTGGCTGAGGTGGGAGAATTGCTTGAGCCTGCAGTGAGCCATGATCACAGTGACTGTCACTGGATGACAGAACAAAACCCTGTCTCAAAAAAAAAGAAAAAAAAAGTCTTTTGGCTTTCGTCTCGGAGGAGGCCAAGGTACAACTTTCTTCCGTCTTCCCGAATCCGGGTTCATCCGACACCAGCCGCCTCCACCATGCCGCCAAAGTTTGACCCCAACAAGATCAAAGTCGTATATCTGAGGTGCACTGGGGGTGAAGTTGGTGCCACTTCTGCACTTGCCCCAAGATCGGCCCCCTGGGTCTGTCTCCAAAAAAGGTTGGTGATGACATTGCCAAGGCAACAGGTGACTGGAAGGGCCTGAGGATTACAGTGAAACTGACCGTTCAGAACAGACAGGCACGGATTGAGGTGGTGCCTTCTGCCTCTGCCCTGATCATCAAAGCCCTCAAGGAACCACCAAGAGACAGAAAGAAACAGAAAAACATTAAACACAGTAGGAATATCACTTTCGACGAGATTGTCAACATTGCTCGACAGATGCGGCACCGATCTTTAGCCAGAGAACTCTCTGGAACCATTAAAGAGAACCTGGGGACTACCCAGTCTGTGGGCTGTAATGTTGATGGCCGCCGCCCTCATGACATCATAGATGACATCAACAGTGGTGCTGTGGAATGCCCAGCTAGTTAAGAAGCACAAAAGGGCCGGGCGCGGTGGCTCAAGCCTGTAATCCCAGCACTTTGGGAGG